ATAAACGTGAAACCCTGACAACAGCCCCCCAAAAAGAGATTAAAAACTGCATTTTCATTTAAGTACATTTCACATGAATAGCAATGTTTAACAAAGTAGCACACATATCTCGATATTAGACAAATAAAAGTATCTTCTACTGACAAGGGATATTATTGCAAACAGTGTAATTGAACAAAACCTATCCCTGTGTGATTTCACGTGTAAATTATCATACCGTAAGTCGAATTCGTTCTACATATTCTTCGCTATCATTTTACTTTTTATTTCCTCCTTAACCATATTTCAATCTCTCCAATTTCTATCATGCAGATTTACTTTTGTTAATGATCCGAAAATATTGCAATCGATTAATGGACAGCAACATAAAGGCTTCATGATAGATTTGCAGGGCGGTTAAATGACCCTGATGTCATTTTATTGCACGCCATAATATTGATTATCCTTCTTCTGAGAGTTCTTGTCCAATAATGTCTGCTTTTCCGCATTTCTGTCATTGAAGGGACAATTTTTTACGTTGAAACCAAAAGAAAAAGTGGAAAATCGGACAAGGAAGTACAACACCTTGATGATTGATTTAGACACACAAGAGGGCGCTGTTGATAAATCAATTGCAGATTTAACGGTTTTACAGAGTTTTGGGGAAATTTTGAAAATTGGCTGAATAGTGATTCTTTACAATTTTAAAATATTTGGATGTATTATACGCGCTAGGAAATTTAGCCCCTAAAACACTTCTTCTTTCGAAAAAAAATGGAATATCAAATTTAAAGGTGCTCCCGGTAAATTTCGATAATTTTGAATTAGCGCCTACGGCCATACAATGGAAGCTGCGACCATGAATATCTCAGAATATGTAGTTGTGATATATAATTTCCAAACAGGAATAGCCAATCGGTCAATTTTAGTCAAGAAACATTGTTTTATAGCTAAATTAATATATTGAACTTGAGCCGGAGCTAGGCAACGAAATAGTTTATTATTTACAATTTCATCACTTTAGACTCGATTTCAACCGCGACAACGATCACTGATTATTGAAGGATCGCATATGTATCCAATATGTTCATTTGAAACAAATTCATAACCCCATATCAAAACTTTGTAATACCTTTAATGTATAAACATGATCCTTCTCATTACGTAAAGGAGAATAATTAACCTATTGCCACTTATTTTCAATGTTTGACGGGCCTTACAAAATAACATGATTATATTGACAGTCACTTTCGTCAGCATGTACTTCATGGCAATTGCCAATTCACAATCAAAAACACAATGCTAAATATATTCAGGGTATTCCGTTTCTCACACGCATCACGCATGTATGTAGGCCCTGATGCCAACGGTACGGTAATTGTGTAATTGTAAAAACTTATAATGAGAACAACAGCAACAACAACATCGTAATATTATGTGTTCTGCATGACACTATATGAATAGTATCTTATTTCTATACTATAAAAGTTCCTAGGTTGACGTTAACCAATAAAACGTACATGTTGCTGTTATATCTACATCACTACAGTCAACGGGTGTTCGTTGCTTAGTCGAAATTCAATTATTCATTGATATCAATTAATTTTCAAGCCAGACACTTAGTAGACCCAATAAATATGGAAGGGGTCAACGATTGCTTTCATTCTATTGAAAGTTTTGTGCTTCATGTGGAATCATAGTTTCAGAAGAAAACTGCTTTGAGGTCGCTCTAATTCCTCACGACCAACAGTTACTGGGTATGTAATAAATACCACCCACCGTACCTTTTATACCACGTCGCATCTAGAGTATAAATGGCGTTCAACAATCCTTTAAAAATAGCACAAATATAATTTGTCGAAAATGTCAATAGTACCGACTAAATTCCATTGCCGGTCTTATACTAGTTGCAAACACTCAAGAACAATGTCATAATCGAAGGTCTATAACCGCTAACATTTCGTGCTCAATCGAGTTACCGGGTCGTTTCCCGAACCGGAAGGCACGGTTGGAATGCAACACTCTTCATTGTTGTTACATCAGTAAATGATCGGAGTCACATAGCAGTATGTCGGGTCCTCTTCCCTAATTTTATTGAGTTTGGCAGGTAGTTACCGCGTCGCTAATTTAGCCCTAACCACTGACAGTTCCAGCGGTAGTCCAGTGTCCTGGATAATGACGTTCTCAGAGCGGTCAAGGACACGGTTACAATACATTTTGATTTCCTCTCTGGCGTGAAAGCGGGTATAGAATCGGAGTCACAGTAGCAGGTCCTTTCGTTTAGCTTCACTGACAAATAGATAACCGCGTCGCTTTAGCCCTAACCGCTAACCACATATCTTCGATACCGTCATTCCCCGAACCGGTAGACACGGTGGGAAACATTGTTTCTTCTTTGTTGTGACACCGGTAAAGATAGCACTCAGTCAGATCCTGTTCCATAGTTTTACCGATGATGACAGAAGGTTACCGCATCACTTTCTCCCTTACCGCTAACTATTCCTGCTATAACCGCGTAACCTGAATGCCGTCAACTCCCGAACCGGTCGACACGGTTGGAATGCAACTGGATTTCCTCTCATGTCGCCTGCATCTCTTCGGTGTCAGAGTCGTTTTCCATTGTTGCCTAACATCCGGGTATCTTGCACAATGGAAGATAAAAATGAAGAAGCCCTGGAAAGCAACGCTGATTGCAAATAGAGCCTGAGAGAGAGAGAGGGGAACACAAATTAAAGGTTAAAGAAATGTGGGGAAATAGTAGTGGTTTGTTAATATTTTTTCCAAAAGACCACGCTGAACTGACTTTCTTAGTATCGAAGTAGGCCGCATTCGCCTTCTGTAAACAAAAAAATCTTAGGACGTACAGGTCCCAAAAGGGATTTTCTAGAGTCCTCAATAACACCTAAGGATAATAGCTATGATTTTAATTAAACCAGTCGGGTGACCAACATTTCGGAAACAAATACAGCGACCCGAGTGGCAACGTTGACTTTTAGGAGTGATGAAAAAAATCACTGGAAAAACAAAGCCTACATCTAAAAATAAGAGGGAAACAATACTTCAAGATAACGGATATACAAAGAGAATATTAAAATAAGAGAGCAAGAGAAAGAGAGAGCGAGCGAGATTCTTTTTAAAGGGGAAAAAGGAGGGGGAAAATAAAGAAGAAATAAACAAAAAAAGATAAAGGATGAAAGGAAAAAATGAAACAGAGAGTTAGGGGAAGTGGATTGAAGCAGTAAACAAAGATTTTGTTTTTAAGAGAGAAGGATGGAGAGAGGGGGTCGAGAGGAGAGGAGAGAGAGAAAGAGAGAGAGAGAGAGAGAGAGTAAGTGGGAGAGAAGGGCGGTTATAAAATGACGATCTACAACGTGAACCGACCTGAAAAATGTTTGCCGTAGCTTGGGGTTCGTATCCTGACGGAACGATTGTGAAGTTGACGGCGGCCGCCGCGCCGAAGATCCATGAGATACCGAGAAGGACTAGGAGAGCAACGGCACCTTTCAACTGATTCAATGGCGTCTTTTTACCATCTAAGAGTGTGAAGGAGAGAGACAATCAAAACTGAATAAAAACAAAGCAAATGAAGTTTTGCTATAAACCTAAATCTAAAGAAATCTGATACACGGTATTGTCATCAAAATCACACCACTTTAAGCAGCGATTCCTGAAAATGTGATAATCTTTCTTCTTCTTCTTCTTTTATTCTTCTTATTATTATTATTTGTCTTCGTTTTTTCATCTTCTTCTTCTTCTTCTTCTTCATCATCTTCTTCTTTTTCTTCTCCCTTTCCTCCTTCTTCTTCTCCTCCTTCTTCTGTTTATTTCTGTTTGTCATGGAATTTCGGACTATTAAATATATGATGACTTGTATCCCCCCTCCCTTACCCCAAGCCCTCCCTTCTCTCTCCGGTCATGGCCTAGATTCACCACCAGAAGAACCAGGGGCGGATCCAGGAATTTATTCCCGGGGGGCACACGAGGGGGAGGGGGGGGGGGGGCACACGGGGGGAGGGGGGCGGGTAAGAGCACATTTTTTAAATTTTTGTTTGATCCCGAATATTTGAAAATCGCGCCGGTCGCAAATTCGCTCAGTGGGGGGGGGGGGGGGGGGGGGGGGGGGGGGGGGGGGGGGGGAGTGCACATAATTGCTTTGTGTTTGTTTTTGTTTTTGGGCGGGGGGGGGCACGTCCCTGTTTGCCAGTACATTTGGGCGAATTTGGGGATGATTTTGACATTTTTGGGGGCCGGGGGCACGTGCCCCCCCCCCGTCCTGGATCCGTCCCTGAGAACAGACCTAGTTTCATAGGTTACCTGTTTATATATTTTTCTGATGACCCGGAGAACAAGCCCGAATACGATGCTATTGAAGAGGACGATGATGAGCATCGGTGTTAAGAAGAGACCGTAGAAAGCGACGGTACTCAAACGACAGCTGGGGAATTCAAGAGATAGAACGAGCATGACATCACTAGCTTTTTTCTTGCATTTTGTATCCTAATATTCATCGCATAAATCTGCCTTGAATCCAAATAGGTTCATGGACCTGGTCATGATTATCTTTCATTCTGAGAGTGCAAATTTGTATATTGCGATACTTTCTTTGAAATAAAGAAATGATTTCAATAAAAACCCTGGGTTGAAATTATCATTACGATTTAATTTTTTCACAATGAAAATGTTTTGGTTTTAGAACGGGGCACATGTCTGTACTCGGTTGTCGGAATAATTGGGGGAGCATTGTCCCCTGTACCCCTGGAGCCGCCACTATAAATGAAGGCCTATATCAATATAATTTTTTTTATAAATACCAATTGGTATCATCTATAGATCTGGAAAGTAGACTGATTGTCAGCTGCCAGTTAATGATGTTTGAAGTCACTCGCTCATAAATAAATAAATAATTAAATAAATTACTGAATAAGTAAATAAATAAAATATAGAAACCAAATATTCAGAACTAGGAGTAAAAAAGTAGGACACTCATTCTTAAAACCATATTTAAGGCTTTGTAATCATGGTTACCTGAATGTACAATTGAGGTGGGTGAGGACCCCGTCGTAGATTTCAATGTTGACTGCAGCTGCTATGAGCACAACGAATAGTGGTATACCTGAAATTTAAAAGAAATAATCGCAAATTAATCAATCATTAAGATTGGGCGACGGAGCAATGACGAGCGGGATACCCAAATATGTAACATTCCTATCAAGCTCGTACGCAGGGGGGGGGGGGGGGGGGGGGGGGGGGGGGGGGTTCGGGGGGGGGGGGGAGGGGGGGTTTGGGGGGGGGGAGGTTTGCGTTGGGGGGGGGGGAGGGGACGGGAACGGGGGGGGGGTTTTAACCCCCACCCCCCCCCCCCCCCCCCCCCCCCTGCGTATTGGTATTTATGTGTGTAATTTGAGGAAACCCCCCCCCCCCCTTTGGTATTATTTATTATTTATTTTTTTTTAAATAAAAAAAAAAAAAAAAATTATACCAATGCTTACCTAAAAAAGTGTTTCTCTAATACCCCCCCCCTGAGTCGCTGCGAAATTTTCGGCCCGATTAAAAATGTTAACCCCCCCCCCCCCCCCCCCCCCCCCCCCCCCCCCCCCCCCCCCCCCCCCTTTTGGCCTAACCCCCCCCTACCCCCCCCCCACCACCCCCCCCCCCCCCCCCCCCCCCCCCCCCCCCCCCCCCCCCCCCCCTCCCCCCCCCCCCCCCCCCCCCCCCACCCCCCCCCCCCCCCCCCCCCCCCCCCCCCCCCCCCCCCCCCCCCCCCCCCCCCCCCCCCCCCCCCCCCCCTTGTAAAAATCCTGCGTACGCGCCTGATTCCTATCCTCATCTAGTGATTTTTTAGGTCGAATGTAAACATGTACCACAACATTATTTTGTTAGTTAGCTTCGCTCGAATATGTGGCAAACTAGAATGTTGATTTTCGGGTAAGAGGCCCCCATGCCCCCCCCTTCCCCTCTCTTGAGATATGTGCCTGCATGTGAACCACTGCTGATGCTCTGAAACCCTTACCCCAAGCCACCAGGCCGGCCTTGAGAACGAAGTACGAAGCGTGGGCGGTAAAGACCTTGACGAGGGTCATGTACATGTGGACGGCCTCGACCCCGTTCCACATCAGCGAGACTAGGATGATGTAGATACGGAAGATGTTGGCGACACGGCACCCCATGACGTTGTTGCAGAAGGCCACGGAAGAGATGAGGAGGACGAGGAGGAGGAGGATGGCCACGCACAGGTTCACGTGGATTAGGGTCGGACGACCCCGCCGCAGCTTTCTACCGGGAGAAAGAAAATCGGATAATTGATAAATGAATGTTAAATATACGTAAATAAATAAATAGATGGATAAAAAGGGAATTTAATGAATGAATATATACATAAATAAATAATAAATAGTTAGATAAATATATAAATAATTGGATAAATATATAAATAAAAATAATAAATTTATAAATGAATTAAATAACACAATAGGATTATTAGAAAATGATGGAATTTCGTTTTTACATCTGACTCTTCACGGTTAAGATACACTCCTATCAAGAGCAGATCCAGGGTTTTATTTTAGGGGGGTTATTGAGAAGCAAATTCCGAAATGTAGACAAAAATTGATAAGATTATCACGTTTTTAGGAGTAATCTATTTTCAGGGTCCATTGAGTCAAGAAGTTGAAAGGGGGTCACAGAACACAATAAGGGGCACTTTGGAGGTTTAAAAAGGGCCGGTTACCCCCTTCCTAAATACGCTTTATGATGAAAATGTGACATAGAGTTCTAAAACGGTATCAAACAGTTCACGAAGAGGTAGGCCTAACTTTCAATTGAATGAAAGAGCTACCTTGATTTCGTGTTTGTTACGTCTCGGGGAGAAGGCCTATATCTGTCTCAGTAGTTTCGGGAAAGTAATACTTTGGAGAAAGCTGACCATTTCAACAATTAAATGAAAAAACTGTATACTTACGGAAAGATAGCGTAGGTTATGATAGTTAGGAGTAGACTGATGATTGATACACTGTAGCCAATGTAGCTTGTTATAGTCAGGCCAAGTGAATTCGGAATTCCCTGGTGAAAAAAGAGAGATACGAATTAGTGGCCATCACACGTTTGCAATCATGAAGACAACTAAAGCATGGTAAACAAACAAAAAGGACGATTTTGAATATAATAAAGGCGGGGTTAATGTATAGCCCTACGACTAGAAATGTCAATTTTATATCAGTCTAGGGCAGTTTTAAGATAAATACCCTTGTTTAAATTTTGAAAAATTGCACATCAAATGTGGTTATATTGATTAATAAGATATTTGACAGAATATTCTGGCTTTAACCTGATACGGCTGAGTGATATAGATAATTTAGATGTTTTACAGCGTTCATAGCCAGCACTCAAGGTGCTTTAGCTAGCTAGGCTATTCCGATTTCGGTGCTCACAACATTAGGGGATGTCCTACCTACACCTGGGTCTAAAGAGGCAAATGTAAATGAATGCCTTATCACCTCACAATTCTTAACATGAAACAAAATGCGGTCGTAATGTTTGTTTTCTTGGAGGATATAGTTTCTTTTTATTTATTGGAGGAAAACTCGTAACAAAGACGGGACAAGAAAAAGGGTGTACTGTTATAAACTTACAATGAATTCAAGTGGTCCGGGTGCTGTTTCTGGTGTGGTCTATACGAAAACAGGCAAAGAAAATAAGAGTTACATTAAGGAAAACTCTAACCAAATACGTCTACTTATTCACTACTTGTTCTCTTCTGGGATTTACTACGAACAATTTCAGAGTTTCTGAAGTGCTTTGGAGAGCATCAAACATATAATTTTGTCTTCAATTGGCAATGGTAGAGGGCGGTAACCATCAAAGTGCTTGCATTGACATAGTTTTGGTTTATGATGATTAGAATGGCGACGACGACATGGTGGTGACGATTATTTTGCTGGTGATGTGTACGATAGGAGTGGGGCAATAAAGATCATGGTGACGACGATGATGTTGATGTTTATAATATTAAAGGCAATACAAAGTTTTGGTATATGGTCATGAATTTGGTTCAAATGAACATATTGGAAGCATATGCGATCCTACAACATTCAGTGATCAGTGTCGCGGTTGAAATCGAGTCTAAAGTTATGAAATTGTAAATAATTAACTCGTTATGTTGTATAGCTCCCTCTCAAGGTCAAGATATTAATTAAGCTATAAAACAATGTTTCTTGACTAAAATTGACCGATTAGCTATTCCCGTTTGGAAATTATATATTTACAGCTACATATTCTGAGATTTTCATGGTCGCAGCTACCATTGTACGGCCGTAGGCGCTATTGGAAAATCATCAAAACTTACCGGGAGCACCGGTAAATTTTATATTCAATTTTGCTTGAAAGCAGAAGTGGTTTAGGGGCTAAAGTTTCTATTTATGGGGGTAGAGTGATAAACAGTTATCTTGCCATCGAGGGTTTTGATGGGAAGGTGATAATGTAATAACATTAATAACCGACCTAACGACCCTTAAAGATTGCTAAATCATTACTTGATATTCGGAGGTAAAACCTACCGGTTCCTGCGTTGGTATTGCATCCTTTATCAGACCAATGATTTCTAAGACGGTACACATACACACTGTGTAGTTATCATTTGTAAAATTCATCGTGCAGTACGAAGAATCCCATTCAAGTTCAACTGCCGAGAATGAAAAAAGAAGAAGATATAATACGTGAAAGGAAATGGTATATCTTAAGCCTGAGTCATTACGGTTTTGTGCTAAACGGTTAACCGTTAAAAGTATACGGGCGGTTTCGTTTAACCGTTTAATAATAATCTGAAAAAGTGAAAATACAGTATTTGTAATAGTGCTGTAGCTCGGAACCCTCCTGGTCTTCAGACTGTCGGGCTGAGCATTCCCAGCCCCGGGCTATGGCATAAATTGGGTCATCCTGATAAACAGAGACCAGTAATAAACAACATAAAACATGTCTTATTACTCCTCATCTGAATTTGAATTTGATATCATGATTAACCTTGCAAAGTTACTCTGTGAAGATAGCTATCTGTGACGTGTTTATATATGCCTTTGCAATGCAATGTTTGCACATGGTCAGGGAGAGAGCTCCCTGCATGTATCATTGCCATATGAAATTATGTGGAAGTGTGTATCACACACACCCAAGACACACCCTGCAATGAGCTGATCCAAGTTAGTGACCAATCAGGAAGGTTCTATAGCTATGTGGGTGGAGTTTGATACCAGCATAAATTACAGGTTGGTGACCGCGCGTGCTTTCACCGTACCCAGTTCAGTGGGAGGTCAAGAAGCCACGCCCACATGTGTGCATGTGACAAGCATGAGCTCTCCATCTGTGTGTATGTACAGTGTATTTGGGCGCCGGAGGTTTGCATGTACGGTGTGTGTGACTGAGAGAGCATGCATGGGCTAGCATGTCCCTGCATGTCCCTGCATGGACGAGGCAGGGACATGAGTGAGACTAGAGTGAGTGAGTGAGACTAGATAGAAAGGGTGGCTGTGTTAATCGGCTGAATTGAAGAATGATCAAAAACTTAAATTACTCACAATATCCAAGACTTTGTTGATTGATATTTCTAAAACTTCAATTATTATTGTTATCAATATTTTTGTATTTTATTTATATATGAACATTATTTTAGGGGGCGAGTCGGCAAGGGATGGATATTAATATTGAGAGAGAGAGAGAGAGAGAGACTCGGGGGAGAAGGGATGTGAGAGGAACTGACCATCGAATGTGTAAACATTTAGAAAGTTGTGAGCTGAGAGTGCAGTAATAAGAAAAGGTACATGAGCGATGAACACATTGCAGAGAGAAGGGAATAAAGAGGGTGAGAAAAGAGAGAAGGGGGCTGGTTGTCTTATTGTTTACAAATTCATTCATGGGGATTACTGCTGCCAGAAAGCTGGCGCGCAGCGGCCAGGGTGTAACATTACACTGCGGTTTCTTTGATTATCTTTATCATCGGCTATGCACATTCCAAAATGTATGCAAATAACGGTTAACCGGAGCGAGAAATGCTAAACGGTTTTGATGAATGCGGTCGGATAACCGTCGGTTAAACGGATTGACTCAGGCCTAGTATATCTTTGTTAATATCATTATTATCAATTATTATTATCATTATCATTAAAAAAAAACATATAACAGTTTACATACACTATGTGATTAACACAACAAAACAAGAAAATAGCATAATTCAATATAAGAAAGAATATAGAGCACCTAGAATTTAGACTAGAGACTGTAGAAGATCAAACAGCTAGGCCATTGGCCTGTCAAGGGCTGGTCTCCAGGAATAAATTAAATTTATATAGTTAGGTACAAAACATATTTAACTACACAACAAAAGATGACGATCTTACCATGCTGCACAAGATCAGGTACAGGTTCTCTAGAGCTATGGAGTCGAGCTGATCCACAGGCAAATCCAGCCCAGTCTGGTAGATCACCCTAGGAAACGGTTTAGGGGAGGGGGAATATAACAATAATCCACATAACGTTATTAATAAGAGTCTTCATGGTTTGCTCTCATTACAAAAAAATGAAGATCTACCATACTTATTTTACCAGGACCTATAACGTACAAGCACTACGTTTTAATAGGTTCCTCACATTCTACTTAATCTATTATATGAATTGACAATCATTGAGACGTGCTCATATATACTACATGTATTGTACAATTTTTATTTTATATGTACCGGTATGTCTATATTTTTGGTAAAATGTGAGACAATAAACTTGAACTTGAACTTGAACGTAATAAATTGAAGCAAAACCAACAAAAAACTTGTGAAATCTCCAAATGAATTTTTGATCGAGCAACATTCCCGATTAACAGAAAATGCCGATTTGATGGCGAAGGAACTACGGAATATACATTTTATTTGAATGATTGTTCAACAAATGAGCCTTAATATGTACACTTTGAAATGTCCTTTAAATGGAAACAAGCAAATAAGAATCGAAAGGGAACGTTTAATTTCCGGTGTATTCACTCTTTATTGGAGCAGTAGCACAAAATATGTCAGGACTTCAAAATTGCCCCTTTTTTGCCAAAACAATTAGGTTTTTTCTTTCCTTTTTATAAATATATTTAAACAAAATTCTTCCCCTACTTAACATGAGAAAAAAGCAAATGAAAAAACAACAACCTGTTATTACTATTTGAAAGACAATTCATTGTTAAATACCTTACAAAGGCCTACGGAATTTAAAAGAGCGTCTTCGAAACGGACTTGACAATAATTTTCAATGTATATTTTACCCTTATTTTCAGAAGAAACAAAATCATATTTTTAATTTTACATTAAACAGCTGTTTTGCCTAAAAGACCCTCATTATTTATTGAAGTTCCCAAGTAGAGACACGCAAGTAGAGACACGCGCATTTTTTAAATTTTTTTTTTCCTTTAAAAAAAGAATTTATCCGGGGGATGTGTATGGTGAGATGAAAACCCCAAAGTTTGATATCCTAGTTACCTGGCCATCAGTCGTATGATAGAAGGTAATGGAAGAGCGGTTCGGGGATCCCTTCCAACGGCACACCGTCATTGTATGCCTTGGTGTATACCAGCACAGTTTCATCAACGGGGGCGATCTGGGATAACTCGCTCACAAAGAATTTTCCTGTATGACGACGGTGAGTATATTAGAGAAAAAAGAACAAAGGAAATTCATTGAGCTACTAAAACTGGACAAAATAGTTTCATTACAGGAATTGATAATATAGTATTAATGACTGCTTTGACAGAAATAGTTGTTTTTATACGCTCAAGGGAAAGTTACAATTGTGCTATTGCCCGAGGCGTGCCGAGGGCAAAAGCCCAATTGTAACCTTCCCGAGAGCGTATAAAAACAACTATTTCTCGAATATTAAAGCAGTCATTAATACTTTTATATGCCGAAAAAAAAGAGTCAACATATGACACCACCTTGGCCTATCTCTAGTTTATCTGCACGGTTGTTTTTTATGACTATGACTGGGTGTATCTTTGAGAGTAGACTAGATGTATATTCTAGTCTAAGGAAGATATTTTTACATTTTTGGGGGTGGGTCGACCCTGTGGGAAATATGGAGAAAAACCTGCTCTTTCATATGACACCTCACTTATTGAGTATCACCTTCAGGATAACGAGCAATATTAGTTTGAATCTCATGAGTGCGCAATGCATAGGGATGTGTGCAATCTATAGAGATTGCACACATCCCTATGCATTGCGCACTCATGAGAGTCTATGAGAAGGATTTTAGCACTACTACTAGATCTATTTTCAATATATTATGGAGAATTTGACGTACCCTTTTGGCGTTCTTGCTGTCAGCAAGTCTTGCATTTGATCATTATCAAGAAGTTGAAATCTTGGGAAAGTTTCTTCAGCCATTTTTGCCATGTTTGGAATTCAGTACGATCGAGAATGCCGTATGTACGGTCGTCTGCTCTGTGCTGTATTAAAAATATCGACCAATTCTTCGCACACGTACGGTATGCTCGATCGCTCAAACCAATTTTTAACATGTAAACCTACGGGTATTTCACCAAGACTGAACTATGTTGCCCGGTAACTGGAATTTTACCGGGAATTTTACAGGAATAGTTAAAACCATGACTGCAATTTCGAACAATCAGATGGCTGGATTTCTTAAGTGAGGTATATAATAATGTATAATGTAATCTTAGTTCAAATGAATAATAGATATTTATTCTTCTCAAAGATCTTTCCAAATAAAAGCCTCGAAAGGGAGGGGGTTATTATGAAGTAGTAATTGAAACAGTTGAATTAAAGATCCTTGAGAAATACTATTACCGGTGTCAAATTAATTTATCAGATATTTAATTACTATATACAACGAGATATCTAAATCATCCTCCTCATAACAATAGCACACTCATCATACCTGTATAGTAAACAATAGCGGTGGCCCTTATCATATACGTAGGTACGGCATATGCCTCAGGGTCTCTCCTATTGAACCGATCATCAAAGATAGTCCTGTTCCGTCTGGTTTCGCGATCTCTCTCCCGAATTCTATGAGATCTTCCATCTGTTTGATTTCGTCGTTTTACCGCTGGAATTCAAAAGACAAAATAGGCCTTCTGTTAAATTGAAACTCCTTTTTTGTTTGATATATACTTGTATTCTCATTTTGTTTAATTCGTCTAAAACTATTATGACCAAGATAGCAGGGACTTTCGAAAATCTACTTAAGGGCAAATTGCGTATAGAAATCATCTTCGGAGTAGCCTATGTAATATGTAATTGTTTCTGAAAGCTTAAAATGTACATACCATACATTTCCTGCAGAATGTGTTGTTGTTGTTGTTTTTGTTTGTGTTGTTTTGTTTTGATGTGGTGCATAATTGAAAAGATAATACAGATACATTGATTGATGTTTACAACTATACAATGTATATCTATATAATAATACTCTAAGGCGTCGAGGGGGGTATCTGGGGTCCATTTTACAGCGCCCAAATCTCCCCTCCCGCCCGCCCCCGGTCGCCGCCGGGCGGTCCCGCGGACGGACGACGTTTTAATCTACCCATTTGGCCACGTCCCCGTTCGATCTTCGGTCGCGGTCGCCGTCGACGTCGATAAAGGCGGTTTCGGGGTCCCGGGGAGGACGGGCGGACGAGGGCACGGCGGGCGTCGCGGATTGCAAGGAGGCGACGAACCCGCGAGAGCGAGTCGGCAAGGCGTGCATCCGCCCTCTGTGCAATCAACAAAGAGACACACAGCGGACGAGAATCTACTCTGTCAATGGATGTAGCACATCACGTAGTAACGGTTGTGGCTTACCCCGAGTTTAGGCCTCTTGCTATAGGATACGCTTTGTAGCATGTAAGAGAAATACACATTAACAGATGACTCACCCGGGTGAGGGGATGTAAGAAATGCACGCTCTCACGGGTTGGGCTTACCCGTGTTATGCGTCTTTTTATATGATATGCTTTGTAGGCCAGCCGGACCTGCTGCGTGTACGAACGTACGTGTATAATGTATGCGATGATTCTACGCTCACCGTCACACGCACAGCTCAGTCGCTTCGTCTTTGATTCTATGATGATTGCCGTGATTTATATATAGTTTACGTGAATAGAGGTATGCAAGCAGGGTTACTTTGGTATTATCCTGTTCATGTTTACTGAATATTGAAAATCATTCTTCAAAGTAAAGTTTTCACAAGAAATTCATCGTGACTGACAGTTCAGTTGCAAGCTAGCTGCCATGAGGCACGGGCAGTGCAGTGCGCCACTGCTGGCGAGCACTGTCGGAACTGTGACTGTGTGTGAGGTGAGGTGAGCTGAGCTGAGCTATTATAGAGTAGACTCGACAACATTTTGAAATTGCTCTTATTGCCCCTATATTTCAATATAGTTTCGTGATTATAGAGGTATGAAACCTGAGCTGAGATTGTGATTATTCTGTCCATGTATAGTTGTATGCTAAATTTCGATAATCATTTTTCAAAGTAAAGTTTTCACAAGAAAATCAGACGGTCGTTTAAAAACATAGCCATTGGCATTGTCTATAGCTGAATAGAATACTTTTACTATGATACAGTTCCTTCATCAAATCAATGCATTAAAACGGGTATTACGGTGCGTCATTCATGGTCAAACAGCGTTATAAAAATCTTCTAGATTCTAGGCCTAGACCTTATATAGACTATATAGATCTATGTGATGTAGTAGAAATAGGATGTGATGTTTAATGGAAAAAATTAATCAGTAATCATAGCTATCTCTAGCCCTTTTCTTCTCCAGAACTCTGGGGCTTAAAACCGGCCGTAATTGCAGCAGATGCTGTATTTTCTGAGCTGAAGTGAATTTTTATTTTTTTAAATTGAACCGGTTGATATATTTCATTGACGTTTCTTACAGGTATTCGGACAATGATCCGGTCAACTTGATACCTCATTCATGAATAACGGAGCTGTATTTCTTGCGTACGCGAAGAAAATGACCGAAAAGAAGCTCGCCACGCAAACACAGAAATTTATGAATATCAATCAATATTTTTAATTAAAATATAATAGGTCTATTTTAAATTTAAATCAGTCAAGTCTTTATTTGATATTTATTAGCTTATTTTTAATTAAAATATAATATTTTAAATTTAAATCAGTCAAGTCTTAATTTGATATTTATTAGCTTATTTCATGATGAAATCAATTATAAATACAATTGTAAATAGAATTGTTATATATGTCGATCTTTACGGAAGCTAAAGGCTGAAAAGTTTGATGCCGCGGACGAACGCAAAATGGCTGCCACAGCAAAGAGCGCCCGTTTAACGGGCGCAAACAGCTAGTCTATAATAGTAATACGCTAAGGCTCCGCGGGGGGCGCGACGTCTCCGCCGGCCTTTGTATTCTATTGTTTTTTAATGAGATCGCCGACCCAAGTTGGTGCGGCTATCTCCTCCTGAACCCTGCCCTCGGGGTACCGGTGACCGGTGCCGTCGTCCGCGGGAGAGTCTACTCTAGCGAATTGGCTATACTCCGCCCGAGGTCCTCCTCCGTGTCGACGTCCAGGGCGAAAACAGACGCGACATGCATAATGCAGGATATGCGTGACGACAGAGATACCTCATGGATATGCAACATGACATCCGTAGACACACGACCGATGACTATCCGTATAAAATTGTATACACAAAAATCGGTCGTAAAAAAAACTCGAACCATATTCCATACCTTACCTGGCTTACCATGTCGCACGCAAGTACGCCAAAACACGTACATTTTCGCAGTTGCGAGATCGAGACGGAGCGTAGGGCTCGAGTTTTTGGCGGTCGATTTTGTTTCGGTAGAAGCTGAATCTAGACCATGAACCACTAAACATCGCGAAACTGCAATCAATTTCCATCACGAATTCACGATTGCTGCAATATTATAAAGTTTCCATAAATAGAGGTATGAAATTAAAGTCTATTTTGTGATGTTCTCGCCATGTTTACGTAATTTTGATAATCATTTCTTCAAAGTAAAGAAAATCAGACAAAATCACCGTAGATCTAACTGACACGCATAGACTACAATACAGTGCATTGCCACTGTGTAGTGTGTGTGAGATGAGCTGAGTTGCAGTTGAAAGTGTGTGAGTTGAATTCGAGTCAAAGAGATTTGACACTTTGAAATTGTTATCTGTTGGTTTGCATCATTATTGCCGCGATTTCAATATAGTTTCGTGAATAGATTTACGAAACCTGAGCTTAGAATTAGTAAAAGTATTACTAGACTCTAATGTCTACGTTTTAAAAGACTGTTTGATTTTCCTGTGAAAATTTTACTTTGAAAAATGATTATCGAAATTCATGGTCAGAAATAATCACAATCTAGGGTCTATTATGTTACAGTTCTTGCATCAAATCAATGCATGAAAACTTAGTTATTGAACTAGAAAAATGTTGTTTTTTTTTAAATAGGCAATTATGAAGTAGGAAGCCTGAAACCTAAAAGCCTACTAAACAAATCTCAACAAAGTGTAGGCCTATCCTTATATGAATTAATGAAAAAGTAGCCCCCGAAAATTTCCCTAAAATTTGAAATGGATCCCCCGAAATGAAAAACTTAATTTTTTGCCTGCGCACCCCCTCTGGAATCCTGCGGATTTCCGCGGGTCCTGAGTTGAGTGTATATATAATATAGGCGTGGGGTCCACGGGTTTCAAGGGGCCATAAACCCCCAAAAGCTCGGGGGTTACGTTTTTCAAAGTTGGGGGGGGGGGGGGAGAGATCAGATCGCAGCGAGTTGAGTGTATATATAATATAGGCGTGGGGTCCACGGGTTTCAAGGGGCCATAAACCCCCGAAAGCTCGGGGGTTTTAGGCGTACTATAGGGTCAGATGAGCATATTTTTAATACTTTATTTGTAACACTTGCGGGTCACTAATTGGCGTGGGGTCAATACGTAGAGTTGCGTAGTGTTGCGTAACAACTACGCTGGCCTACGTTACTATATGCTGAGGGACGGAAAGGGGTACGCAAGATGAACGAAAACAATTCAACCTGTTTAATTTTTTTCGCCAGCCTACGCATAACCTACGCAGGGACTATTTCCCCATTAATACGCAGCCTAATTTCTGCGTAGTCGGTACGCCACACTACGGAACTCTACGCAGTTCCAGTGGCTTAAAGAATAACTACCGGTACAGTTGGATCGTTTTTTTTTATTTTTATATAAGGCCAAATTAAAAAAAAACATGTTTAGCTTCCTGTTTTTTCGAAAAATGGGAAGGAGGAGGCCCTTTTTTTTTTTTTTTTTCTTTCAAAATGGCCGCTCCGTACATTTTTCCTGACATTCAGGCTATTTTTCAAGTTGGCGGCCGACAATTTTTTTTTTTCTTTTTTAAAATCAGAAATACATTTTAGCAGTGCTTTTCATGTTTTTTTTCTTTCAAAAAAAAATAAATAAATAAAAAAAAAATAAAAAAAATAGGAGGCGGCCCCCAAAAAGGAAGCAGGCGGGGACGCTGTTTTTTTTTCTTTCAAAAAAAAAAAAAAAAAACTTTTCAAAAAATTTCAAAAAAAAAAATAGGAGGCGGCCCCCAAAAAGGAAGCGGACGGGGACGCTTAACATGTATATTTCTTAATGGCCTGAATGGCAAATAAAGTTCTTGGTGGTTTTAATTTAGACAGTCTCTATATATCTATTTACACCCCCGCCCCCCTCTAGGATCCCGCGGATTTCCGCGGGTCCTGCTAGTCTATAATAGTAATACGCTAAGGCTCCGCGGGGGGCGCGACGTCTCGGCGAGCCTTTGTATTCTATTGTTTTTTAATGAGATCGCCGACCCAAGTTGGTGCGGCTATCTCCTCCTGAACCCTCCCCTCGGGGTACCGGTGACCGGTGCCGTCGTCCGCGGGAGAGTCTACTCTAGCGAATTGGCTATACTCCGCCCGAGGTCCTCCTCCGTGTCGACGTCCAGGGCGAAAACAGACGCGACATGCATAATGCAGGATATGCGTGACGACAGAGATACCTCATGGATATTCAACATGACATCCGTAGACACACGACCGATGACTGTCCACTCACATTAAGTTGCGTATTAAATGCTCTATGCAAAGGGCGGGATTACCGAGAGTAAAGCATCTTTCTATAGGATGTGCTTTGTTGTAGCTAGGATGTGCTTTGCATGGATTTGCATGTAGTAGCTGCACAAGAGATACACGGGGCTTCCCGTCGACGTCCAAACTTAGAGACCTATTTCCATCATGATTGCCGCGATTTTTATATAGTTTTCGTGAATGGAGGTATGAAATCAAAGCTTATTTTGTGATTATTACGGCCATGTGTACTCAATTTTGATTATCATTTTCTAAAGGGAAAGTTTTGACAAGAAAACCATTGGACTGACAATTCAGTCGCAAGCTAACTTCAGTCACCACACATCACAGTGCAGTAACTCGAGGAATCTCCAACACCGGCACCGGGCACCGCAGGCGTCCGAGGCCTGCGGCGCCTGTGTTTGAGCTTCGTGGAGTTACGCTGGAGTGTTATGTGTGTGAGTAGAGCTGAGCTGAGCTCGAGTCGAAGAGATTTGACACTTTGAAATTGTTATCTGTTGGTTTGCATCATTATTGCCGCGATTTCAATATAGTTTCGTGAATAGATTTACGAAACCTGAGCTTAGAATTAGTAAAAGTATTACTAATGTCTACGTTTTTAAACGACTGTCTGATTTTCTTGTGAAAATTTTACTTTGAAAAATAATTATCGAAATTTATGGTCAGAAATAATCACAATCTAGGGTCTATTATGTTACAGTTCTTGCATCAAATCAATGCATGAAAACTTAGTTATTGAACTAGAAAAATGTTTTTTTTTTTAAATAGGCAATTATGAAGTAGGAAACCTGAAACCCTGAGTTGAGTGTATATTTGTAGGGCCATAAACCCCCAAAAGCTCGGGGGTTACGTTCTTCAAAGTTGAGAGATCAGATCGCAGCGAGTTGAGTGTATATACAATATAGGCGTGGGGTCCACGGGTTTCAAGGGGCCATAAACCCCCGAAAGCTTGGGGGTTTTAGGCGTTTAATTAGGGTCAGATGAGCATATTTTTAATACTTTATTTGTGACACTTGCGGGTCACTAA